TGCAGCCCTCCAGCCAGTTGGCGACCCATTTGACTGTGTGGGTGTCTACACCACAGCCCCCCAGTTTCTTAATGAGAACAGGGTGAGAGACAGTGTCGAAAGCCTTCCGGAAGTCCAGGAAGACTATGTCCACTGCTACCCCTGCATCTAATGATCCGGTGATCTGATTTTAAAAGGCCATCAGGTTGGTCTGACCAACCAACTTTATGTTTGTTGCATTCTGGAGTTTATCTTTTCTCAGTTCCTTCTGTTCCTTATATCATATACAGTTCAGAGTTTCAAATTTCTGAGGACTTTGCTATGACCACATCTGAACACTTCTGTCATTTTGCTGTGTTTTTCAGTGTTTTGTTTTCTTTGGCATGTCAGTTCTTATTAGAAAGCCTTTAAGTTTAAGGGCATATGTGCCTACTCTGCTTCTTCAGTTGCCAAAGTTTTGCTTTTTAGCTCAACAGTTATCTATCCTGGGCATTTAGCACATATTCCAGGAGGCATCCCTGGGAATTTCTTGGAAGTCTAGCTAGAATGCTTTGAAAGGTAAATTCACAACGCTAAAGCCTAAATCAGAGAGATTGCTCTCAGAACTCAGTGCCAGCAACACTCCCACAGGTAAGCCCAGTGTGGAGGCTTCACCTCTTGAAAATTTTGTGTTGTTCCTAGTAAAGCTAATGGCAAACATCTACTGCATTCAGGGCCTTAGTACTTAAATTCCAGCAGGGCTGACTTCTGGCAGGCAGCCACCCAGAACATGTCAAGAGTAAGCACACTTCCTGACATATCACTGGCAGCTCCATACCAACGTCTCCAGATTTTCCCTCCTGTATGTAATGTGCTCAAAATCAAGAGTGCTAGCAAATCTTGTTATTAGTGATATGGCTTGATCATACCGCTCTCTTTTGAGGAAGCCAAGAACAGAAAATACCACCTTCATTGCATGCCTTTTGGTCTGTGTTGACATTACACAGTTGAAGCATTTTTTTTTTCCACTGAGACCTATGCTTATGCTCAAGTTAGCATTTCTTATACAGACATTTCTCAGAGGTAGCACTCATCACCTTTTCCCCTGCTTCAAGGATTTAAACCCATAGACCTGATTGAAGACGTCTCGACTTTACCAGAGAAATCTTAAGTATTTGCTTTATTTGAGAGGTGGAGGCAGGAGGGAAGTCTCTTTTATGGAGTTGCCTTCAAGTTGCAGCAAGGGAGGTTTAGGTTGGATATTAGAAAAAAAACTTTCTCACTAGGAGGGTGGTGAAGCACTGGAACAGGTTACTTAGAGAGATGGTGGAATCCATCCTTGGAGGTTTTTAAGGCCAGGCTTGATCAAAGCCCTGGGTAAAATGATCTAGTTGGGGATTTTCCTGCTTTGAGCAGGGGGTTGGACTAGATGATCTCCTGAGGTCTCTTCCAACCCTAATTTTCTTTGATTCTATGAAAGGAAGTGAAAGGCTGTTCTTTGTAAAGCAGGCTTTCAGTTTCAGAAGCCATGATGCAACTCATTGTCCCCCCCCTGCACAGGGCTCTACAATACTAAAAAGGTCTAGGTTCCCCAGTCCTTCCGGGCCTAAGATTTGAAATCAAAAGTTGCTCAGGAGCATCTTCTATATTGGGATGTGTTTGCTGACTTTGAGAATGTTTTTCTTGGATAGACCGTGAGCCCGGTCACCTCTGTGTCATTCATGTAATGTTCATGACCAAAGAAGAGAAAGAAACACAAGGTTACTCTGAGTCCCTCAAAATGTTTTCAAGAATCTGAATATCAACAGAAACTGCAGGAAAACAGAGTCCTGCAGGTACTGTTCACAATGCCACCAGCTGAAAGATGGGAAAGGGTGTTATACCTTTAGTTCACAATGGCCTCCTTGCTAAGGACAAGAATGCTCATCCTTGGATACAGACTTTCTGGCCCCCAAAAAGTTCAATATGGTTATGGGGGTTAGCCCTCTTAGGTCTTCAAGTTTGGCAACAATTTTGTGTACCTAACAATATTTGCAAGGTGCTGACAATATTTTGTATTTGTAATAGACCTGTTGCACAATTTTTGTGTCTTGTCTTCCAAATGACAAAGTACTCACTGCGTATTCTAAAAAGATACCTGGTTGCTTGTTCTTGCCGGTGCTGCGTTCATTGTTTTAATAGAATCCAGGAGCAGGTGGGGGTGGGGGCGCCCTTCTGCTGCCACTGCCGCTGTCTCCAGCTGACCCAGGAGCAGGGGGAGCCACATAGTTGCTCCTACCCTGCTCCAGTCATAAATAACAGTTGCAAAAAGTGCCATGGAGACTGGTGGCAGTGGTGAAGTTTCCTGTTTTTGCACCTGCCACTCCCCTGCTGTGATCCCCACTGCCTGGAAGCAGGCATTGGAAGGAGGAAACTTCTCCCCACTGCTACCCACTATCCCTGGTTGACACGGGCATGGGAGAAGCCTGAG